CCAGTTCTATGATTTAGCTTATTTCCCCTGCAGATTTCCATGGCTATGGCAGACTCCCTCCCAACACTGACCTCTGAAGGAAGAGTTACCTTCCAGCAGTTGAACTGAATGTGAGTTTAAAATCAGTACAGATAAATTCTATTAAAAATGGATTGAAAGCCTTATTTTCATTGCTAAATCACAGCGAGTCCTGTAATGAAACGTTTTGACTCGACACACTGGAGGTCTCAGACAGCAATTTTCTGAAATGGAGCATTTCTCTACGTTTGTCTTTGGCTTTATGGCATTCAGGAAATATTACATTTGCTCCATTCAGAACAAAATTACTTTTCAAAATGTCAGCCTGAAGAAGAGTTTGCCTGTGAAAAGTAACTATTTCTTCAAACAGTATCAGTTCCCTTAATAAAAGCTATTACCTTTCTCTACAATCTCCAGATTTTTATTATAGAATCAAAGAGTGGTTTGGGTTGGAAGGGACCTTAAAACTCTTCCAGTTCCATCCTCCTGCCATGGGCAGGGACACCTTCCACTGGAACAGGTCTGTGCTCATGACAGTACCACAGAATTTATTGTGTCCAGCAGCAGAGCTAGTGGATGCTCTTAAATGTGGTACCTGATGCCCTCACAACAATGAAATAGGAATTCCTGTATCTCAGTGTTTAAGAGAGGCCACAGCTGGATGCTGTTCTATAGAGAATATATTTAATTATTTTTCCTCTACAACAGCAAAATCCAAGAGTGATTTTTCTTTTTTTTTTTTTTTTTTTTTTTTTTTTTTTTTCTCCCAGGATGGTGGAAAAACAAAGTATTCAGAGCTATGCAGAGATAAATTTAATTATTAGCAAGACTTGCCTGGAGAAAAACCTGCAATTTCTGGACAGTGAGAGGACAGGAAATTGAGACTTCCTAAAAGTAAATGCAAATAAATACATAACCAATAAAGTCTGTGCCTATCTTCATCTCCATCACTTGTTTTTCCTGCTAAACTGGTTTTTTTTATGCCACTCTTCATTTGTTCTTGTCTCTTTTAGAGCTCTCCTATTGGGATGTGCTGCTGGGTGGGGTCTGGAGCAGTACTGGGCGGGGGCAGCCAGTGGCTCATTCTGCTGAAGGGAGGGCAGTAAATAATTATTTATAAGCGAGGGGGGATTGCTCCAGGCAGGAGCCTCTGTGCTCGCTGGGCCAGCCCTGGCTCAAGCCTGGCCACCAGCAGGGCTGCCAGGAAGGGTGATGGGGGAAGCTCAGGGATTGTGCTCTCTGATGTTTCTCTGGGAAGCCCAGGGATTGTGCTCTCTGTTTCTCTGCTGAGCTGGAAGTTCTGGAAGATTCCTGGTGGATTATCTGGGTTTCAGCCATAGAATCCCAGAAATGTTTGGGTTGAAGGCACCATTTTGATCCACGCCTGCCATGGCCAGGGACACCTTCCACCATCCCAGGCTGCTCCAAGTCCCATCCAGCCTGGCCTTGGGCACTGCCAGGGATCCAGGGGCAGCCACAGCTGCTCTGGGTGACCTGTGCCACCACCCTCATTGTAAAGAACCATCCACAAGGGTCTCCTGTTGGGAGTTTTGCAGTCCTGCCCTGCACCCACACAGGGCTCCATCAAGGACACTGAGCTGCCTGTCCCCAGGGAATCACCACGCTGACGTGGGATCTGAGCAAAGCTCCTCACAAATCCTCTGTGTAAAGGCAGCTCTAGTGCAGCATTTATAACCTTTAAAATTTTAATTTAAACATTGACAAAACCACGTTACTTTCTAATTAAATCCCATTTTCTCCCAGGGATTTTAATTTTGAAGTAATTTATCAGATTTAAGGATCCTCAAAACATTTCGCATGTTTTTCTCCGTAACCTGCCATGCCCACTGATTTATTTTCCTTATTCATTAGCAGGAGGATTCATTAGTCATTAAGTGTGTGGGTGGATTGGAGGGGGGGGGGGGGGGAAGAAATAAAAATGGTTAGTGATTATGAAAACAAAAAAATCAGAGCTGTAAGAAGCATATGTCGGGATCGTAATCCTGACACCTCTGTGTCTCAGCAAAGCAGCCAGTAATTGTACCATAATGAAATGTTCTTGTTTGATAACAAGTTAATTAGGGAAGACAATTATTGCAAACCCCGCTGACGCCCACGAGCGGCTCCGTGTCGCGCAGGCGCTGAGTGACAGCGGAGCTGGTATCCGTAACCTCTGCATCCCAAACCTCCTGCTCCAGCAGCAGCCCTGCTTCCCAGGCCTGGGGAACCAGGGGAACAGCTCCAACTCTCCCCCAAAAAATCGAGGAGCACACTGACCCCACGTGGGAGCATCCCAGCTGCAATCCCAGGTGGAATTTGGGGTGGTAGAACATCAGGAGAGGAGAGATGAGAACTGCAGGAAAGGTCTCCAGGAGGAAAGCTCGGGGGGAAGGCCAAGAGGAGCCACCATGATGTAGCAAAGGAGGCACGGAGTGATCCTCTGCATGTAGGAAAGGAGGCAAAATAGGCTTAGATTGCACCAAGGGAAATGTTGGGTAAGCACTGGGAAGCCTTGGGAGCAGAAAGGATAATTAAGCTTGGGAAGACATTGCCTGGGGAGATGTGTAATCTCCACCACTGAGGGTTTAAGAACAGATTAGGAACACATCCATCAGGAATGGTTTAAGTAGAGATGATCCTGACTTCAGGCATCAGTATGGTCTGGTTGACCTCTTAAGTCTCTCCTTGCCCTTCTTTCCATGATTCCATGACTGGTTTTTTTCTTCCCCCAAATGTGTAAATTTGCTTTTTATTCTGCTTGTAAGTCTGCGGGGTTTTTCTTGTAACTATTATACACTTTCCTCCAGGATACGTCTTCAGATCACTATAACTTATGGCTTATTCACAAGATGTTTCAAAGTACATCCTCCCTGCCACATTTCCCTTTTTCTCCACACATCCTTACCACAGCCACTGGAAAGGCAAATAGGAAACATGGACAGGTTGTTCTTATTCCTTCCCAGATCCTCCTTTCCTCCTTGCATCCCCCTCTGTATCCCCTTCTAGGGGATACAAGACTTATTCTGTCCCTCTCACCATTAAAACCAACTAACCCAAGCTACACTTCCAGAAAAAAGCTTGTGGTCTGGATTTTAAGTCAACAACCCTGAAGATACCTCCAGGGAAGACCCTGGCTGTGGGAACTATTGGCATGGTATCAGGAGAGCTCCTGCTTTATCCTGGTGGAGACACAGTGCTGTGAAGCAATTCCTTTGGAGAATGAATGGAAGAGCCTGCAATGAAGCAGGAATTGCCACTGGTTAAAGCACCCTGAGAGATTCCTGCTCTCCATTGCCTCGACTTCATGGGGTAGAAGTCATTCCTTGCTCCATGTGAGGGCACAAGCTTATTCCCAGGACAATCCATTGAAGATTCCAAAGGGGACAGGAGGGTGACAAATCCAAACCCTAACCTCCAACGAAAACCATGCACCGTTCACCTTCCAAACCTCTGATCTTGCTCTCCAAGAAAAAAAGTAACACTCGTGGAGCTGTTAAAAGCAGATCTGACCTTTCACATCCTCCCCATCATTATCCTGCTCTCCACCAGACCTCTCTTGAAGCCTTTTTTGGGATTGGTGCTTTGATCCCTCTCTGGTGCATGGCTTTCCTCGATGCCCAGAAGATGCTGAAACCTCCTTCCAGGCCAGGGCAGCTGCCTGGACCCTTCCAGGGCCTCACTGCCAGGGCTTTGGGCTGCAGGAGGAAAGTGCATCCCGCTGTGCTCTGGTGCTGGCAGCTTGGAACAAAGCTGGAATTGGGCAGTTTGTAGCATGGCTGTTCCTGTGGGATCTCTCTCCTCTGGTGGCTCTTCCATAAAACAACTTCACAGCTGGCCCACGATGCCTCTGTCCCACCACAGACCCTGCAGGTCCTGTCAGCAGCAGATGGATCTGATTAAATGGGTGATCTATTACTTTCTGCTAAGCAGGCAATTCTTCTGCTGGGTAATTTGCCCCTGGAGTGTGACTTGATCCCTGGAGCTGTGTTGTTCTCCAGGCTGTACATTTGTGTCAGAAAATCCCATTTATGTTTAGCCATGGAATCTCTCAGCATTACTGAGCTGCTCCTGGTGAAGCACGAGCAAGAACTCATCTCTGGTACCTTTGTGTCCCAGACTCAAAAACTCAACTGCAAATGCTGGGTTTGCCCAATCTCTGCTCATTTCAGATGGAAAGTTCTGGGTTAGCCTGGGGATCACCCAGCAGATTGCTTGGGAGCTCCTTGATTCCTCTGCTCTCAGTTCCCGGGGCCTATGGAAACACCTGCCCAGGGCTTTGACTTTGTGGCTGGATTTGCTGACAAAAAGAAGCTGGTTCCAGAGACTCCTGCAGCTGCCACCTTGGCATTGATCTCCGTGGTCTCCACCATTGCTTGGCTCCAACCCAACCTCCTCTTCACCAAAACACTGCAGGGAACAGGGAGGTGCTCGGAGAGGGAAGAGCAGAAATTGCCAGGGGAGAATGAATCTCATCAGTGACTTCTCTGGAGAGTCTCCATGTCACTGTCGAGGCAGGATGGGAATGAAGAGACTCTGACCAGAAGGCTGTGAGAGTAAAACTCTGGTTTATTCAAAATACACTGCTCTTTTATACAGAGCTTTGTGAGGACCAACTCCATTGGTCCTGAAGTGAAAACAAGCCACACCATTGGTGCAAAGTGCTTGATGTACAGTGATAGAACTTAACTATAAACAATGTGAACAACAAGAGAGATAAAGAATTATTTACATTCTTCTCCAACTCTTTCCCAGGCTTCTGCCTGGCTGGAAACTCTCCATTTCTCTCTTTGACTGATTCTGAGACCCACATCTCCAAGTTCATCATCCCCCTGAGGGAGGGCAGTCACCAGGGCTGCTGCCACCTGCTCTGGAGCAGGTCTGGCCCATGGTGGCCCTGTGGAAACAGAGGAGGGGCTGTGTGTGGCACAGACTGGGACCGGGCTGTCCGTGCCAGGGGAAAATCCTCCTGGGGAATTAGCAGGGCTTGCTCCAATCTAGTGCTCAATTTCCTCTAATTTCTGTCAAATCAGGCAGCCCTTTTAAACCTTGCTGGGGAACGCTGCTTGAGATCTGCTAATGGCAAAAACTCCCACCGAGGAACGGGATTCTGGAGCTGGGACCTGGAGCTGTGGGCAGATTCCTCTGACAGGTGCCCCATTGGATGCTAATGGCTGAATTAGCATTTCACTCTGCAGCAAAGTCAAAGCTATCTCTACAGGAACAGCTGCTAAACTATTTGCAAAGTTCAAAGAGGATGTATTATTTTTCTTTTTTCACATTCTTCAGATTCCCGTGTAAGCTCCTTAGGAAGGGCCATGCCAGCTGTTGAAGAATGAAGATTACAACGTCCTGCTAACGCGGCGCTGGGGATATTTAAGGTATTGTTATTTATTCCTATTCTGCAGCCACACTGGAAGGGGTTAAAATGGGGAAGAAAATGGTGCTTTGCCGAACAGGTGTCCTTGAGCAGTACCCAAGGACACGGAGATTGCTAATCCTGTATTCCACAGCATGATCAAATCACCAGGCAACAGATATAAATAAAAAAAGGCAGGAAATAAGGAAATTTAGATACAAGTGTGTCAGAGGGAAAATGAAGATTCATTGTGAAGAGGCTGAGAAGAGAAGAAGAAGAAGGAACAAAATGACAAAGCCACAAATGATAAACCAGTAAGAACAAAAGAAAGGGGGGAGAAAAAAGCCTCTCTGTGAAATGCATGTCTGTGACAGCAGCAGCCAAATCAAAGATGCTGCTAGATTATATGGTTTCTTGCATAATGTGCATTCTGGTTCCCTCTCTGTGTTTGTCTTTCAGCTGGTGCACAGGGAAAAAAACATATCTGAAATGGGACGTGAGCAACCTTTATTTTCCTTGTTTCATCAGGAGGAGAAAGCAAATTTGCTTTGTGGGAGCAGCAGCACCTGCTCAATGGCAAATAAATAGCTCCAGCTTTGATATTACAGTGCATATAATCATTAGCAGCACAAATGGCAGAGGATTAACCCTCTGTGTGCTGGCCAGGACTACCTAGCAAAGGGCTGGCATGTCACTGCTGCCAGCAGAAATGCTCCAGGAGGTGTCTGTGGAGAGGGGCTGGGGCACTGGAGGGGGCACAGGACCACCCTTCCCTGTCTGGCATGGCTACAAGCCACCAGCACTGGGCTTCCCTCAGCCCTTTGGCCCTGGCACGGAGGCCACCCCACCTCTGTGCACCCCCTGTGTGCAGGATGGGGCTGGGGGATGGATGGACATGGGGCAGGCACAGCAGGAACGTGCCAGGGGCTGCTCACACGTGGAGGGATCACAAAATGCCCTGGGTTTATGGACCAGCTCCCCTGGAACCCCCTCCCTGCTGCTTTCCCACAAGGTGGGAAAAAAACACCCCCAGGGTCCACTGGAGGGCTTGGGATGAGGTTTGTGAAACTGAGGGATGTAAAGAACTGCTTAGGAACACAGTGGGGCTGGGCTCTGCACCTCCAGGGATCCAAGTGTGGGATCAGCTCCAGAGCAGATCCTACAGCCTCACATCCTCCCTTTCTCAAGCCAGGAAGAGAGGAACTGTTCTCTAACTAAAACTTTGGTCATAATTTAGCCAGAATACCCAGATTTGGCTTTTGCTTGCCTGCTGTGCACCCTCTGTGTTGGCTTTTCCCAGGTTGTCCTCTGCACTGCTTTCTGCAGTGAGGACATGAAGTCACTGTTGTCTACAAAGCTAAAAGCAGCGTCCCTGATGAAACACTTCCCTTCTCCAGCTTTTCCACCCCTTCCCAGAGCACGATCCTGCCTGCTGATGGGCTGGTGCAGCTGTGTGGCAGGCTGCACCCCCAGGCTGCAGCAGGATTTTGGGCAGTGGTGCCTGGCTGTGCTGCTCAGACACCATCCATCCCCTCTCCAGATGTGCCAGGAGAGCCCTTGGCATGCCTGCTTGCCTTCACAGGGAATGTGTGCACCACATCCTGCAGCCCTGGGCAGGAAACACCTACAGGACAGCCCAGGCACTTGTTTTCACATATTAAAGGCATTTTAGAGTTTTCTTTTCCTTTTTCCCTTTCCATTGCATTGCCTCATGAATCTAAAAAAAGCTTCACCGGGGATGTTGGCAGAGGAAAGCAAACAGGGGCTAAATAAACTCTCCTCCAGCCAGGCACTTCCAGGGTGAACGTGCCACATCACACAAACCAGCCACAGGCTCCCAGAGCCCAAGAGAAATCGTGTCCCTCCAGCCAGAGTCCTGGGCAGGGAGGTAACTGTTGTGGGAGAGAAGTATCCAGCTGGAGACAAAGCCAGGAAGTTAATATTTAAGCATTCAGACAGGGAACAAATGACTTAATTAAATCAATTACAGAGGGAGAAATGGAGCCACTTAGAAAGCGTGTGTAAAGAGACGGGAGGCTGCTGCGAGCTCATGAAAGAGCAGGAGGAGGGAGAGTTAGCAGGGAAGATAAACGGGCTGGTTTAATCCCTGCTGTTAATTAAGAGCTGAGCGTTTGCACTGCGCTGAGTCAGGGTCGCAGCAGCGCTTCCACTCCGAGCCAGTGCCTGAACTGTGCTGGGATTTGCAGCCAAGTGCAGCAAAGGAGGGGCAGGCTGAGATGCTGGGGGGATGTGAGCAGGAGAAAGGGGTGACACAAAGCTTATCCACATCCCTGAGCCTCTCACACCCTGAAGCAACAGCAAAAACCAAGCCCTATCCTGCAGCTTCCCAGAGCTGGGGTCACCCTCTGTCGGAGCTCAAAATGTCCCTCAGACATTTTTGGAGGTTCCAGGCCCAGGTCAGAAGCATTTGAGACCCTGGCAGGCAGCTGGAAACAGCTGTGATTTTGGGATTGAGCCATGGAATGATTTACCAACCTTGCAGGAAGAACAAGAAGTCACAAAAGTTTAGATGTTATAGTAGAAGTAGTCACAAAGTAGAGGGAAGAATTTTTGAGTGCTGTACAGGGGGGTTTTGGTTTTGTACATGGGGGTCAGAGGTTTTAAGATGGAGGGATTTGGGCCTGCCCTGTCCTCCCTCTTTCTTCTTCCTTACCTCCATGTTCTTGGTGATGTTGGCACTCACAGGTTGGTTTAGAGTAGAAAAGCACCATTTAATATAGGTAATAGGCATTGGGGACAAACTGTAAACATTTAACACGTAATGTACCATACAAAAAATAGCAGCAGCCCTGGGCGGGGAGAGAAGAAGCAGTCGGGAGTCAGAGAGGATGTCAGGGTGTGTGTGAGCCTCTGCCTGAGCTGTGAGCAAACCACAGCAGCCCCAGAAGAAAATCTTTTAGATAACTTGCAATAAACTGCCTTGAGACCGAACAACAGAGACTGCTGAGCCTTTCTTTGGAAGCACAGCTTGGAGGAGAGATTTTCCCACCACACAGAGCCACCCCCAATGTAGGGCTGAGCTTTGGCAGCCCTCCTGACCTGCCTCCCCTAATCAGATGTGGAATTGTTGCCTGCATGATCCTACAGTGATCCACCCAAAGAGGAGAAAAGGGAGCAGCAAAAGCGCTTTCATCCCTGAAGATCCTCTGCTCTTACTCGTGACTCAGTGTGAGGTGGGAATCAAAGTTCCTTCTCAGCATAACTTCAGTTAAATGGCTTTTTCCCTCCCTGCTGCTCTCTCCCCAGATGAAGCTGCTTCCAGTGCTGGCCATGGACACCCAGCTGGAGCTGTGGCAGGCTCCAGGAGAAATGCTCCCAGCCTGTTTGGGTCCAGGACACATCACACAGCATGTCAGGTCTCTCTCTGCCTGATAAACAGCCATCCTTGCTCGGGAAGTGCTCCCTGGGGCTCTCCCCATGGGCAACGAGCAATTACAGCTTTTGGAACTGACTCAGCAGCAACCAAAGAGGGAAAGCAGGACCTGGAATTCTCCACGTGAAGCAGATGGAAAGTGGCTGACAGCTTTGGGGCAGCAAGGTTTCCTCTGTGAGGCCACTTCAGACATCTCCTTCTGAAGCTTTTAAAGCCTGAACGTTGGGTTTGAAGGCAGCAGCACAGGGAGTTAATAGTGTTCAGCCAGTTGGCTGTCACTCCTTGTAAGTAAATAAGCAAATCCAAACCCATCTCTCATCTCAAGCTGTAAAACCCCACGTCAGGGAAAGGCCACTGATGGCTGTGCAGAGTATGAGCTTATCAAGAATAATTAGTTGTCATAAAAATTTGCTCCTCCCCACACAACAACAGCAATTTTGCACAGTGGGCACTTCAGCACTGCTCCTAAAAACAGCTTCTGGTCCTGCACTTCAGCCTCTGGAAGCCCCTGGCCATGCCCTGAGCATGCCTGCATTGTGGAAATACACATTTCAACAGCTGAAAGGCAAAAATAAATAACTCAGTAACTCACTTGCTTTTGTTCTTCTCCCAAGCTGTCCCACATGGATGCCACGATTTTCGACACGTCCCCAAAGGTGGCGTTGGGGTTTTGCCCTTTGATGGCTGCTTGTGTGTCTCTGAAGAACAGAGCATAGGCTGACACGGGCTTCTGGGGCTCATTGGGGTCCTTCTTTTTCTTCTTCTTTTGGCTTTTGGGCTTTTTGCCCAGGTCTGTTGAGGGTCTTTTCTCTCCAGTAGCCTGCAAAACCAAGAGATGAAGCTTAGCCATCGGCTAAGGTCTGATACCAGCCCCTGCTACAGCTGCTGAGCCAAGGAGATGAGAGAGGGAATGGGAAGTGGAGACATCCCAGTGTGGAGAGGGGCAGCAGCCCTGGGGATCTCTTTGTGCCCCAGGAGCCTCTTGGGACATTGCACAAATTGTTCTGAGCCTGTTTTGGTGCCTCCTCTCAGACCAGCTCATGGTTTGGGCTCATCCTTTTGTCCCTGCTCCAAATCTGGGGCTTTCCAGTCCTCAGTCACTCTCCTTCCCCACCCTCCTCCCCAGCACACTCACTCCTTCATCTTTTCTGGACCTCTCCACGTGCCTTGCTTCCCAGTCAGATTGCTTTAGCAGCCCGTACATTTTCCAGACTTGGCTTACACATGGTTTCTGATTTCCACCCCACTCAGCCCCTTTTGCATCTGCTCCTGACTTCCCTCACCTCCCCATTCCAGGAGGGCTCTGAGCACTGACCAAGCCACCAAAACATAACACCAGAACCATCCAAAATTTGCTCCATCCTTCTAACATATATGTACCCCTGTCCAGAAGAATATCCAGGAACTGAACTATTGTAATCACACCAATTAAATGCTTTGCCCACGCTGTTCACTCCTCTGACTGATGTGGGTGCAGCTGGTGACCAGGAATGGCTGTGTCCATGCTCAGTGCCCAGGGGGTGTTGGAGCTCAGGGGAGCAGGGCACAGGGACCAGGAGCTGGCCTTTGTGGCCTTTGTGGCCTTTGTGCTGCTCAGCATGGGATGCTGCCACTGGGCTGGAAGTGAAACAGCAAGGCTGGAAATGGGGATGCTTCCACTGAAGACAGCATGGAAAGAAGATCCTGTATCAGTCTCCCTGTGTTAGGAAAAGGCTTTTCCCCAGAGGTGCTGGCACTGCCCAGGCTCCCCAGGGGATGGGCACATCCCCAAACCTGCCAGAGCTCCAGGAGCGTTGGGACAGCGCTGCCAGGGGTGCCCAGGGTGGGGCTGTTGGGGGTTCTGTGCAGGGATGGGGCTGGGCTGGGGGAACCTGTGGGTCCAACTCATGATATTCTATGATTCTGTGAATACAGAGGACTGCAGAAGCTTCCACAGAAGGATGTGCAAAGGAAAAGACCCCTGGAAAACACTTGGATACCCATCAAAGCTCTCAACTGGCACTAACTGTGGCCAGTGAAAGCTCACACGACAGGGAAGCACCATTACCCTTTTTTTTGTAGTGAAGGAAAACCTGAATACACCAGATGGCAGAGAATGAAGCACTGGCTGGATCTCTGCGTCCTTGAGGGCAAACAGGACACCAGCCTCTCACCTGCAGGGCCTGAGCTCAAGCCACTACCATCAGCTGCACAGGTTGTTGAATTACTTGGAAAGACACACCTCTAAACATCAAGATCTTGTGAAAACAATGCCTCCAGCTGAGCTGGGGACAAACAACCTCTTCTCCTGATGGATTGGTCAGTTTGAGCGTGTGCTTGGCAGTGCCAGGATTTAAGAGGCTTCCCTTCAGCTGGCAGAGGCCAGGCACGGGGAGGAAAAGTGCAGCAGCCTTCCTGCTCTCCACTCTGTAGCTCTTGACTGATCATTAATTTCAGTATCAACGCAGTGACATTTGTCAAACAGACAGTGACCATTAGTGAATGAGCAGAGAGACCACAAAAATTGCATTTAATTTAAAATTGCCCAATTGGGCTTGAATAGGAGGCCTGGGGGTGAAAGGCCAGCTTATTACGAGGAAAAAAATGCATGACAGGACTTCAGCCCATTAGGAAGTGAGATGGTATTTTAACTAACTGTGATCCCTTTTGATTTAGTGGAGTGCTGTTGAAACGTAAACTTTAAGGAATTTAGAGATTTTAGGGGAGCTAAGGTTTTAGTTAGAAATAAGCTTTACTAGAGTTAATTAAAATAATAATAATAAATGAGTAGGCCTTGATGAAGTTAGGAGTTAGTAGTTAACTAATAATTGATTGCTTGTCAGCACAATGTTTAGTTAGCTGGGTTTATAATGAAGAATATAGAAACTAACAAATAGCTTTTAGGAACATAAGACAATTGTGGGCCTCCTCTGTTCTGAACCAGTTGAAGACAGGGAATGGGAGTTCTAACAAGAGTTCATTTGTCATGTTTGCATTGAAAAGGTAGAAAGGTCAGAACGAGGAAGACTTCATTTACTTCCTCATTTTGGGACCCCTCCCCATGAAAGGGACCACCAACCTATTTCAAGGGACAAACTACGCATGCTGAATGGCTTTTGGAGTGATTAGCATACAAAGCGGGGAGTGAGATGTACCAAAATTATGAATATGTATTTGTATTTTGTGTATTCAATACTTATATTGATAAAAAGACTCTGTAATCACCTGGAAGGTGTGATGTGTATTTGGGAGCTATCCTGCATGCTGCCCGGTGTTGAATAAACACACACTTTCTAACTTTATACTGTTAGAAAGCTTTTATCTGTCACAGTTGGATATCAGTACTAGATCAATATCCATATTTTTAATAAATCACTGTGGGGAACCTCCTCCCACACAGCCACTGACCAAGCCAGGGAGCTGGAACAGCAGCAGCACAACCCCAGCTGCATTCACAGCTCAGGCAGCACCAAAGAGCACATGGGATTTAAGGAAAACAGCAGCAGGGAGCAGAGCAGGATTTGGTATTCATGGGGTCTTCCAGGTGTGACACGTGGGATGAGACAACAGCCTGGGCTTGGACCTCAGAAGTTTTGACCAACCCAAACCACATTCATGGCTAAAGTCAACCCCCAGTGAGCCAGTGCTTCTCTGCCCCAGAGCATCTGCACCCCCAGGACTCACCCCCATGGTCAGAGGGACCAGGGAGGCTGGGCAGGGGGATGAAGAGCATGGCCACCTGCCCGTGGTGGCCACTGGCATTGGACCTGCCCAGGAGAGCCAGCAGAAGGTCTGTTTGGTGGCAGATGTGGACTGGGGCAATGATGTGATCCAAGAAACTTGGTGCCTTCTTACATGTTGAGCCCAGGAAGAGCTGAAATCTCATGGACACTGTGATTTTAATACCTATGGAGAGTGGCCACTAATCCAGGTGGAATCTGGGCTGTACCCACCTGTCCCTCCCATTCATGTGCACCCACCCCCCAAGCTATGGAGCAGGTAAATAAACCAGTGAGGCTCAGAGACCTCTGAAATTCAAAAGCTCCCTGGCTCAGACAACCTGAAGGACCTGCTGGCATCAGACTCATTTCTTTAACCTGTGACCTTCTAGCTCACAAGATTAATTTCTGCTTGTTAGATGTTGTTTTGATGACTTGTTGCAGAAAAGGCTTTAATGGTCACATGAAAAAGTGACTGATGGGTGAAGGCAGCAGCTGTGCAGACAAACAAAGCAAACAGAAACCTGCAGGCCACAGCGTGGCTCTGCTGCTTTCCTCCCACTCAGCATCTCCTCCTCCCTCAAACATCACTCTCACCTGTTTGGGGGGTTTACAGGGCAGAACAATGAGAGGGAGTGCCTGAAAGATTAGGAAAAATTCTAATCTCTGCAAGCTGTCATCATCTGGACATCTCCACATCTCCTACCCCATGGGTACCACTGGCTCAAGAAAACACCAGATCCAACCCCAAAGCTGTGCCCTGCTCAGGGACTCGTGTGTGGCTGACAGGAAAGCTGGGTGATGCTGGTGGGGGCAGAGACAGAGCCTGGTGCGTCACTAAACTGAAACTCATTTTCTCCTGACATGAAAGATTTCAGCTCCCAGGTGCACAAAGCCTGGAGCTTTGTGAGGCAGGCTTTGGGACATGGCAGACTGTGGGATCCAGCAGCACAACCCCTCCCACGGTGTCCCCTGAACATGGAATCACAAAGTTTGAAATATTCCATTTGTTTTTAACCTCGTGTATCCCTTCTTTTTGCAGTTTTATCCACTGAAGCTGTGTTACCACCCACATGAGCTCTCTGCTTTGAAATGTCCCAATCTGAAGTGAAATCTGCCAATGGATGAAAAACTACAGGATTGACAGGAATCCATTTTCCTGGATTTCCATGAAGAGGGAAAGGTTTTTGCTCAGTCGTATCATTTTCCTAGTTTTCCAGCATGTGCACTGTTTGCTGCTCTGGTTATACATTCAAACCCTGTCACAACAGTCTATTTGGGTGGGACAAGGTTACAATACCAGTGCCTTCCAGGAGAAGGTTTTCCATGGAAAGCTTTAATCAAAGTCCCCAGGGAGCCCAGCAATTCACCTGCAGGCACAGAGGCACTGTGATTGCTGCAGTTTACCCTCAGTAAATAACAGCCACAGATTCCTGGAACATAGCACGTATTGTTTGGCTTTGCTTGTACATTTGGAGAGAGATGGACAACAACCAAGATGTGCCCAAACTCCTTGGGTTTCTTGGTGCCACACTCAGCAGCAGTGTTGGCTGTAGAGACCATGTGGGACACTGCTAACTACTTAAAACACCACCTTGGTGAAGTAAAAGGCAGAAGATTCTTTGAATTACTGTTTGCTTTCCTTAGCAAGCCATGTCCAGTGAGCTCAGTTAAATCCCACCATGAGTTATTTTCCTTCCCTGTTCCATCTACTCTCCCCACCACCAGAAATCTAATTTAACTCCAAGCTTTTGCAGAATCTTAGCCCTGAAGCTGCTTTGCTCATTGTAATCATCATCCCAGGAAATCCTGTGGCCTGATGGAACTGGTCAAATGTGGAGGCAGAAGAACAACTCTGACCTCCAGCCCTGCTGTGTGAGTGCCAGCCTGCCATGCTGGGCCTCACCCTCAGCTGGCAGCAGTGCCATCATCCTTGGGAAAGCCTCCCACTATAAATGTCAGAACAAGACCAGAAGTCTGTGGTTTTATTTAGCACCATTTACCCCTCCCTGAAAAGCATCAAACCCGGCGCGACCG